GAATTATAACAAAACCTGCCAATTCAATATAAATGGAAAAAAAATATTATATGGAATTCAACGAAAATGAAAATTTGCTTGATAATTCAACTACGCTTGTTGGAGAACAATAAAAACACTACACTCAACAAGCCACCAATAAAACTCAACTGCCTAACCTATAACCAAAGTCTCCTTTTAATTTGTTTTTAAAAAAAAGCGCTTGACAAACTTGCCCCTCATGCCGAAGTTGCCCCGGTTTCCCCTAAACTGTTTCATAAGAATGAATGAATCATGTAATTATCAGTGATTTCGACTTTGGGGTAAAGAACTGATGGATTTTCCTTCACTCTATTTTTTATGGTAAACAAGAAAGCGGTTAGTCTTATTTTTTAAAAAATTTTCTTCGTAAATAAAGTAGCTGTGAACTTTATTCCAACAATGATAAATGTAAATATATTATAACCCCAGAATGAAGCAATTAAACTTTGAGATATACTCGTATATAATAAATTTTTATATATTTGAGAGATTTTTATAATTATTTTATTAATTTATTATATTATATGACTAGCAGGTAAGCCCGGCGAAGCAAAAAATAAGAACAAACATTAAGATTTAATTAAGATGCCTCAATGTCTATGACTTACTAAAATATAAATTTTCGTCTGCAAGTACGTATCTTCTTATATACAGGTATATTAAATAAAATAAAAAATTGTTTTCTGTGAAACTCTGTAGCATTAACTGTAAAGCCAGTATAATAAGTCCTGATATTAGAAGATACGTACTGTACTTGTAGACGAAAATTTATATTTTAAAAACATTAAGATTATTTGATTATTCCGTACTTCTAACCCTTCTATCATATCATATTGTAGTTTTTTTTTTTTTTACTTTTTCCGCCCTGTGGGCACTAAGAGGGCCTCTTAAAGCAGGCCTATTATGGGTTCGGCCAGGTCCACAATGGGGCGACCGGGTGGTGAGGGATGGGGCCCGACATATCCGAACGGACCACCCCCCGAAAAATTCCTGGGGATCTTTGACCCGTCCGGATTCTGTCCCGGGTCCCCCAGAGCGGTAGTCTGCTACCTTGATCGTTCGGCAATCCGGCCCATATCATATTGTAGTATTTGATTTATACAGTACTATATAACTACAAAGGATATCTTACGTAAGGGTTCATCGGGCCGAGTGACCAATCTAATACATTTTAAAAATTCTTTAAATTGCTCACCGGTAACCTCGTATTTTATAATTTTCCTATTCGATTTGAAAAAAAATGTAGACCTATAGGTCTACATTTGTCTAAATTTGAAATCAATAGAGCACACAAAAAAATGTAGACCTATAGGTCTACATTTTTTTCAAATCGAAATAGGAAATCGTTAATAATTATATATTACTGTCGTAATATATAATTTACTAGCTTACCCGTCGCGAATTGCTGCGATCTCAGAAAGGAAATTCAAGCAAACTCGTTATGATAAAATTCAATTTACATTTTATCATTTTTATTGAAACATTATTATTATTTATTTTCATCGGGAAAACATTTCAAAGTGTCATTTCAATTCTATTTATTTATTGGAGTGCTTGTGGATACACGATATTTTTTGTTTTTCCGTCTGGTGTGTACACGAATAAAGCAGGTTTTCCGACGCGTGAGCCGGCCACATTCAGTTGTCCATGCGAGAAGCACGGATTCTCCAAATTTAGCCCATACACTCGCATCGATTGTCAGAAGTGCGATATTCCCCATTTATATATATATATATATATATTTTAATCTTTTATAATTTTAATTATTTAATTGCTCCTTTCTCTCTTCCTTGGCTTGTTGTGAAATTTCTGATAGTTGGATAATAAACCGTTTTATTGTAATTTGTCTTTTAAAATTATTTTGAATTGATATTAAAATTTGGAAAAGGGGGATACCTAGATCGGTAAAATACGCGAATTTTTTTCTACAACTTCGGTTGTTGTTCGGGGTACAGTTAAGGTTTTAACGAAGTTCGAGTTGAAAAAAAATAAAAAAGTTGAAATAAAGTGATTAAACAAAAATTATTACAAATATCGTAAATAACAGTTCACAAATGCATATATAGAGATATTTTTTGAAGGGGGAAATGGTCTTCACAATTTGAAATCGATCGAACGCACAGTGCTCGAATGCTCGTGTAAACGCGCGCCATCTATCGTAGGATAAATGCCAGAAACCTTCGTGGGAGTGTATTAAAAAATTTCCCAAAGTTTTATGGCAATCGTACTATGCCACAAACCTTCGCGGGAGTATATTAAACAACTTTCCAAAGTTTCACGGCAATCGGATAAACGGTGTGGTAATGCATGAAGAACACACACATTCACTTTTATATATATATAAAAAATGTAGACCTATAGGTCTACATTTTTTTTATAAATTATATATTACGACAGTTGGAATTTATAAATTCCAACTGTCGTAATATATAACGGACAGACGACAGTTGGACAGATTCCAACTGTCGTAATAATAACGGACAGACGACAGTTGGAATTTATAAATTCCAACTGTCGTCTGTCCGTCTCTATCCTTTAATCTGGAGAACGGAGTTAGATAAAAGTCGAGACCAGATATGAAAACTTTAGAGCAGGAGGCCCGGTTAAATTAACTGTATGCGAACTTTCGGTTTCCACCGGAAATCTCGTTATTTCAATTCAAATGTTTCCCCGAACGGATTTAAATAGATAACGACACGACTCTATTGCTAACAGGAAAAGTATGTGCAAGGAAAAGACATCACTAAAAGTATTGAGAACATCGTGACGAAAAGTTACAGCCCGGCATTTTAACGATGTCACAATAAATAATCCCTCGTTAGAATTAGTTTGGTTTATTTGTTCACGGCAACGCGACACGTGAGCGATCTGCGGAGGGGAATGAATCCAGGGAAGACTTTGATGTAAAGCTTGCCCCTATTTAGGTGTTATCAACGTGAAGAAAACCCGGAAAACAGCACATGGCCAGCCCGTTGGCCATGTCAAAACCCACGACAAACTAATTAACGGTGTTCGGGTGTTTTATCCATTCGGCTACTGGAGGGCACTTAAAGTTATATTTTTAACATTTTTCATTTAAGTTGGTCAATTTTTCATATATACGAGGTATATATATATATAAAATATAATAATAATAATAAATATATATACTGTATATATATATCAAATTTAGAAAATTGATATGAAACTTGGGATAATTTTCATTCTCAATTTGATTATACAAATTTTTACTGAAAATACAGTAGAGCGTCGTTTATCCGAATCAATTGGGTACTGGGGTTGCTCGGATAACAGATTATGTACGAAAAAATATATTAATTTATCCCGTGTTGAAATTTTCTCCGTTGCGTGTCGTTTCGCGTTGAATTTTCGTCGATGTTAAGCCTAACGTAAACTTTTTAAAATAATAATCGTGGCTATTGTATCGTTAAAAATTATTTCTTTATTTTTTACAAACAAAATAAAAATATAAAAAATAAAAAAATTATACTTTAGCAGTTAATCTAGTATCAAAAACGTTCGATTCAGCACAGTCCTAAGAAAAACACTACACGAAAGTGCCAGTGCTGCCAGCTAAAACACACACACCAACAAAAAAATATTGGAGTAGCCCAAGATATAGCCAAAGATTGCAGCGCCACAGCACTAGCGAAAATTTAAATTTGCCGACTGTGATGCTTTCGGTTAAACGATGCTCTGCTGTATCTATATTTTGAGTAAAAATCTGTGTAAATCTGAAGTCTACTTAGCTTTGTTTCTAATGTGCTTCAAGTTATCTACAAAGAGTAAAATCAGCATTTGTAAAGGACTAACCATCCTATCCACTTCTCTGGTTGAGATGTGAATAGGAAAGACTAAACATCTCTTTCCAATGCAATTTTTACCAGCCAGCCAGATGACCAAGACACCCAGCCTATTTATCTGGATGGAATAAAAATCAAACCCCCATCTCTCACCACCAAATTTTGGGTCTGGAAAAACTGTGTCCACAGAAAAAAATGCAACCTTTACCCTTTTAACTTGTAACACATTATGAAAATTGATGATAATTTTTGAAAATTTTAAAAACTGATAGCCTCCTAATGTTTATTACGACTGAATTTAAACATTCATCCAAATTGAGATTAATTGAAAATTTTATATTTTTCTTGTAAAAATTAGATTAGCTCATAAACCAGCAATTTAAAGCTAGTAAAGAGGTTGAGGCCGAAGTTTTAAACGCGAAAACGTGTACGTCGGACGTTCAGCGCCGCTTTCCTGTAAGCCTAGAAGTTTGACAATGGTGTTTTAGGATAGTCAATTTTAAATTTATGTTTTAGGATAGTCATGGCTCGACGTTCCAAACACCATTGTCAAACTTCTAGGCTTACAGGAAAGCAGCGCTGAACGTCCGACGTACACGTTTTCGCGTTTAAAACTTCGACCTCAACCTCGCTAATAATTGATTTCTATTAATACAATTTCAAATAAAAGCAAAAGATAATATAGTCAAAAATAAAATAATGCAACTTTTATTTTCCATCATTTCATATATTTTTTAACAAGAAAATATAAATAGTATTGACATAATCCCATTTGTTTGGTAGTGCTGTAAGTTTAAAAATTTATATTACCAATTACATATCAAATTTATGAACATTAAAATGCTACCTGCACAAAATGCAAATATATTCTTCAATAAACACTTATTTCATTTGTATATACAAAAATAATTGAAACAACAATAATGTATAAAAATTGTTTTTAAATACAAAAATAACCTTTATGTCTTAGAAAAAATAAATATTTAATGTTACTATGATGCTTTAAATATTGTGCACACTAAACATAAGAAGAATAAATTGGACACTATTAAAAAAAATTATGAAAGAATTGTTTATCTATGAATTATACAATAGTTAACTTCTATTGAAATTTCAATAACCAATTGAAATGAAGTTTCAAAACAATCAACAAGATAAATTAAAGTTCTTTTAGACAGAAAAATTTGTTCAATTAATAATTGTGAAGATAATGAACGCTGATTATATATGAATTGATGCAAAGAATCTTCTCTAAGCACTGAAAATAAACAAAATTATGTTCAAAGTTACCTTTTAAAATAAATTATTAATATACAGTGGGTGATTGGTTAACGAACATAATCTGTTCCAAGACTTTGTTCCTTATACGAATTGTTCTTTAACCGATTATCAAGATTTTTCGGAAGTAATTAATAGTATTGTAATTGTAGAGATACCCAACCCCATTAACCTTATTCTGGTTTGGATGCCACTTGGATGAGCGTTGTTCTGACATCCTCCCACTTCTTCAAAAGATATTTAGTAGAAGAAGTCGACATTGGTCCTCTTTTGTCTTCCTCTTTTTCAAAAGAAAACACATCTCTCTGAGTTTCTTGGTATTCTTCATTTGAGAGTTCTTGGAGTTCTTCTGTCATCAGATCAGTTTTAGGTTCCATTATGAGCTCTAAAATGCTCTTTATTTCTCAGATGTGATTTTCATGACTCAATTAGCAGCTTGAGACTTGATATATCTTTCATAGCTAAGATTGTGCCTACTGTAGACCTGTCCAAGCCATACTGCCTAGCAATATTAGACATCTTGTGCCCATTTTCTACCTTGGCTATTATCTCTTGCTTGGTTTCTACAGCGAGTACGATTCTTGACACTCCTCTTTTTAGGCTCCATATTATCAGTTTCTTTTTTAAATAAAAAAAATTCAGAAAAGTACTTACAAAAATTCAGAGAACAGAAATCAACTAGTCCACAAAAAATTATTTAAATGCAAGGCCCAGATGAAATTCGAAATTTCGTATTAAACATTAACGAATATCCAATGGGACAGTTAAACTTTCACCTTTCGTAACGCAAAACTTAACAAGTGCCCATCCAACAGTCTCGCGAAGACTATAAAAAATTATTTGTCAGAAAGGTAAACAAAAAACTGGAATTACAAGGGAGAGTTTCAAAATTTGGAAGAATATTATCTGATCAGTATCGTGTTGAGCATGGATGTTGATGTCTCCATGCTTTGAAAGATTTCGAATTGTTACCTGAAGACAAGGAAAAATCAATTGGTATTCGTTATTTTCCGTTGCTTCTTTTTATGTTTGTTCAGTAAAGTGTTCATTGTCCGATCATAAAAATCTTTCCTGAAAGTGTTCGTTATTGGATTTGTTCGCTATTCAAACTGTTTGTTAACCAATCACCCACTGTATAGACAAATAATAGCCTAAATTAATTATACTTATGTAAAAACCTGGAATATTTGGTTTATGCATAGATAAACCAAGTTTTCATAAATTGTTGTAAATAACAATAATTTATAAAAAAAACAATAAAATTATATTCCGATAAATATTATAGTACCTGAAATTACAAAATTATGCACAGTAGAAGTTAGTTAATCCAGCACCTCAAGGACCAGAGAAGTGCCAGCTTACCAATGTTTTTATATTTTTGTAAAATTCCATAATTTATAGGCAGTCTGAATGTTACAAGCATTGCTGAACATCTTGTACCTGCAAATGTATCTGTATGCTTCCAATTTGTTCACACATACTTTTTATCAGTCTGAAGATAATACAATGCATGACTATATTGTGTTAAGATTAATTGAGGAACTTGCAAAGACATTAATTAACGAACAAGTTGTTGCACAAAATCGTCACTCACAATGATTCATATTCATATATTTATTTTCCAAACAAATACTGTATAATGCAATTCACAAAAGCTACACTTGCTCTGAGTACAAGAAGCATTTTTTGGTGCAATGTGGCAGTAAAACAGAGAATTTATTTATTTATAATTATGTTTAGTTACTTAATTATTTTTTTCCCGTTTGTTTCTGTTATTTTCAGTTTTGGAGGTTGAGTCATGTTAAACCTCAATAGCTTCTCAAAAAGAACATTATTTGCAAAATTTCATACTAACATTGAATAACAAACAGAACTGCATCCTACTAATTTAGGGTTTAAATATGACCAGAAATTAAGTAATATTCTACCATATTTTTGTAACCATATTCAATACGCAAATTAACAATGTACAGTAAGACCCCGCTTAATGCAGGGGATAAGTTCATAGATGACAGAGAGCTAAACGAAACAGCATTAAATGAGGTCATTTTAACATAGAGTAAATAGGGATAGGGGAACATATGACCAAAAATAAAAATGTTTTACTTTAATTTAAAATTATTTTTATATTAATTTGTGTAATAATATATGTTACACAGACATTTATTATACATTTCTGTGTGCATAATTAGTTCATTTTTTCTATATTAATAGTTCATTTTTAGAAGTTCCTGACTTTTCTAAAATTCTTTTTCTTTTTCTTTGCAATAAAGTCATGTAGTTTCATTTGTCACTTTTTTCCTTTCCTTAGCAAATGTCGGTAGCAGAAGATTGCATCCAAAATGACTCATTTTGCTTTTGCACTCCTTTTAAAATCTGGATCATTCGCTACAATTTCATCAACGATTTCAGTTATCATTACCAAACTTTTACTAAGGAAATCTGTAGAGAAATTCTTTGGGTATTTTGTTTTCAGAATCTCTATTTTCCAGTTCTACAAGAATTCCTTGTTCTGCCAGTTCTTGAAGGTTGTCATAGGTAAGGCTCTCACCAGAAACCTGCAGTAACTTCTCAATATCCTGTTCTCCTACATCTCCTAGACCTGCTGTATCAATTAGGTTAAGTTTAGTCAACCTAATGATATAGTGATAAGCTGTTCTGGTTGAGAATTCTTGGATACCTTCAGCCATAACTTCCACACTTTGTTCATGCATTTATCAGTTAATTCTTGCCAAGCAAAGTTCCTATGGCATCCATATTTTTTCCAAAATTGCACCAAACAAACATAGATTTAAAGAAAGTACACCTTTATGCCACCTTTTGCTGATTGGTTTGTGTTTGCAAATAATCATATTATATACGAATCAATGAATTTCTGCGATAATTTGAATCAGCATAAATTTTGAGCTTTTTTTTGTTTAGGTTTTGAGCAGACCATGTTATATCAGATCAGCATTAAGCAAGGTCTTACTGTATAAAAATCCATTGTAAAACTGACATAGCAAACTAATTTTCACTTCTGCTGGTCATTATATTGCTGTTAAATTGTAAATGCTTAAGTAATTGATTGATTCAGCAGTGGATTAAGGATTTTTCTGCTCGGTTCTTTTCCCTAATCAGGTTAATTTGTTTGAGATTTTGATTAATTGTAATTTTGTAAATTTTGAGTTTAATAGTAATTTTTGCTGAAATTCAAAGTTTACAAACTGTATTACAAGAGGGTGCTGAATTGCTGGACATTCTAGATTATTGGGTGTCAGTTTAACAAACTTCTACTATATATGAAATAGATAATTTTCAAAAAAATCCTGCTTTAAGTTATAATTACATATTGACTTCTATATATCTATGTAAAATATAGATACGTAATTCTATATTAAATAGATTATATAAACAATTTACAGATATTATATGATTTGTGAATAACTTATTATTCCTGTTACATATTGATATATTTAAAGCAGTGTTTCCCCTTAAAAATATCTGTTTCATAATAATAGATTTAATAATACATCACTTTTCTTTCATAAATACAGTATGTTGATTATTACTTAAATTAACACATTTGAAGCAAGTTCAGTTTGTAAAATATCACTCTTCAGAATAAAGAAAAATTACTTATAATATTTAAGTGATGGCATTTCACTAAAAATGCCATCACTTAAATATTTCTCTTCATTCATAAAACTTGCCATTTCTCTCTTGCATTAACTAGTTTTTGTATTAACTAGTTCCTAAATCTGTATTAAAAAAAAAAAAACTAGAAATAATTAGCAATACAGTAGGGTCCCTCAAACTCAAGTTAATGTGGACTAATAAGGTGACAAGTTACAAAAAATGACAAGTTTTATGGCATAGCAATGATGTTAGTCTAAATAGCAAAATTTTCATAAAGGTATTACATGCACAAATTTGTATACTTGTTAAATAGTGGCTATTTCTATTTGTAGTTAAATTTTAATTTACAAAAACAAAAATACTGGCTATTCAGTGTCTAATGTGATGATTAATTTTGAGTTAGCAACATTCATGTTGTGGGATTTTACAGTGAGACCTTGGAAAAGGGTTATATTCTTTGTTAACATGTAGAATTGATGCTATTTTAGAGTGTTGCCAGTGAAGATCAGTAACTTATTTCATTGTAATGTTAAGTTAGAGATAAAAATAGATTATATGTATTTCCTTCTTTTGGATGACATGATGAGTTTTACAAAATGTGAAGTTATCGACAGTCAAGTTTCTGGGATTCTACTGAATTATATACTAAGTTAGCAGAGATATCTGAACAAAAATTAACAAAGATAAACTTTTACTATGATAGTTATTCCTAATACTCTCTTTAAACCCCTCTACCAAGCATTATAAGTATTAGTTCTAATTTGGCTACTAAGGGCACTACTACTACTACAACTTTCAACTATACAAGAGTTTTTATAAAAAGTTACTCTTGACAGATCATTTTGGATTAATATAATTTGTCTGCTACAGAAATTAAAGGAGAATTAACAAAAACATTCAAAAATGCATATGTAGATCTAATTTCATTAAAGTTCTTCAAATTACAATATACACTAATAGAATAATCTGGTTTCCAAAAATTTGAAATTAACAGAAAACCAGCTATTTTTGAATTTGGCAGGCTGTGGTTTGATGCATGGCTGCTTTGTTTTGGTTTCAAGCAGACCATACTTTAGTAGTACAGTGGTACCATGACTTATGAGGGTCCCAACTTACAAGTTTTTAGAGATATGAGCAGTCTCTTGACCAATTTTTTGCTTTGAGTTAAAAACTAAAATTTGGGTTATGAACCAGCTTAAGATATTCCACCGCTAGTTGGTGTAGTGAACACCACAGAAAACCATAGATTAAGAAAATGATGATGGAAAACTGCTGTAATTTCAGACAAAAACTAGCACAAGTAAACTGGAACTATATACTAAACACAACAATTAACACCTAAATGCTAATTCCAGCACTGAATGAACAAGATTTTAATGATCAAACGTTTTCGGCCATCTTTTAGAGGTCCTCCTTAGGATGACCTCTAAAAACACAAAAAAAAAAAAAAACAGTTCTATCATTTAAAAACTTCTAACCATCGAATACAGCTGTGTTCCAAATTTTTAAATATTTAAACGATGTACAAAATGATATAAAAATCATTACGTTTACAACATAAAAATAATTATTTTAAAATAAAGCTATACATAAATTATTATTATAGCATTGTAAAAATTAGCATGATGTAAACGATGTGGAAATTGTTTTCTTTTACAAAGCAGAAAGATGAAAATAATTACACATACAATTATTGTTGTGTTTTGTGGCAATGTAAATAATACTTCCACGATTGTAATCGGAATATACTCGGAGTTAATACAGTTTTCCTTCATGGTTTCTATATAAATCTCAATAGCCTCCAACGAGCATAAGTCGTGTTGGTCGAAGGCCCTGTGCAAAAGAGTAGCCTCATCCCAACATGGGGAAACCCTGGGTTCAGTAGCATACTGGGCTAAAGCAGTACTATACTTCCTCTTGGACACATCATATTTGTGGTCCCATATTCTAGCCTCAAGGGATCTGTATGTGGATCCAATGTATGTTATCCTACGATTGAAACGTTCATCATTCAAAGGTATGTAGTACACCCCCAGCGCTTTTTTATCATCGGACTTGTCCTTAGCATTAGATAAAAGTCAGAAAATATTCTGCTTTCTCTTATATGTTAAGCGCACATTCAACTACTTAGCAATTCTACTAAAAATTCGTTGAAGGGATAGTTCATAAAATAAAACCACCCGGTTGTGCTGTGCATCAATAGTCCCCTTGTTGTTGTTAGTTATTGTAGATTGCTGGTTGGCAGTTAGCTTGTCTATTAAGGACTGGTGGTACCCGTGTGCCGATGCTATATGTTTGATGTTTTTCAGTTCTCTGCAGATATCGGAAGTTTCAGAGCAGTGGGAATAAGCCCTTGAGACTAGGGCCCGAAAAGCTAATACCTTAAAAGGCCAAGGGTCTGCTGAGTTAGCAGGTATAAAGAAAGGACAGTATTAATCTGGATCTGTGTGAACTCGTCATATGAAAATTAGAAGAAAAGGTCTTACTAATCTTATAATCCAATACTTAGCTACATGCAGTACGTGGATGATATTTTGATTATATGGAAAAAAAAACCTGATATAGGGAAAGTGTTAGAAGCCTTTAACAACAACACCTACGACTTAACACTAAAGTTAGACCAGGAAAGTCGCATAGAGGTTAACTATTTAGATGTCAAGATTAATACGGCGAATAAAAATATAACCACGACCATTTACCACAAACCAACATACTGTCCTCTCTTTATACCTGCTAACTCAGCAGACCCATGGCCTTTTAAGGTATCAGCTTTTCAGGCCCTAGTCTCAAGGCTTATTCCCACTGCTCTGAAACTTCTGATATCTGCAGAGAACTGAAACACGTCAAACATATAGCATCGGCACACGGGTACCACCAGTCCTTAATAGACAAGCTAACTGCCAACCAGCAATCTACAATAACTAACACCAACACGTGGGCTAATGATGCGCAGCACAACTGGGTGGTTTTATCTTATGAACTGTCCCTTCAACGAATTTTTAGTAGAATTGCTAAGTAGTTGAATGTGCGCTTAACATATAAGAGAAAGCAGAATATTTTCCGACTTTTATCTAATGCTAAGGACAAGTCCGATGATAAGAAAGCGCCGGGGGTGTACTACATACCTTTGAATGATGAACGTTTCAATCGTAGGATAACATACATTGGATCCACATACAGATCCCTTGAGGCTAGAATATGGGACCACAAATATGATGTGTCCAAGAGGAAGTATAGTACTGCTTTAGCCCAGTATGCTACTGAACCCAGGGTTTCCCCATGTTGGGATGAGGCTACTCTTTTGCACAGGGCCTTCGACCAACACGACTTATGCTCGTTGGAGGCTATTGAGATTTATATAGAAACCATGAAGGAAAACTGTATTAACTCCGAGTATATTCCGATTACAATCGTGGAAGTATTATTTACATTGCCACAAAACACAACAATAATTGTATGTGTAATTATTTTCATCTTTCTGCTTTGTAAAAGAAAACAATTTCCACATCGTTTACATCATGCTAATTTTTACAATGCTATAATAATAATTTATGTATAGCTTTATTTTAAAATAATTATTTTTATGTTGTAAACGTAATGATTTTTATATCATTTTGTACATCGTTTAAATATTTAAAAATTTGGAACACAGCTGTATTCGATGGTTAGAAGTTTTTAAATGATAGAACTGTTTTTTTTTTTTTTTGTGTTTTTAGAGGTCATCCTAAGGAGGACCTCTAAAAGATGGCCGAAAACGTTTGATCATTAAAATCTTGTTCATTCAGTGCTGGAATTAGCATTTAGGTGTTAATTGTTGAGCTGTAATTTCACATTTTTGTTATTCTTTCAATGTATGACAGGCTAGCCTATAGAAAAACATGTGATTGAGTGATGTAAGAATTAGTTCACTTCCATGTTGTGTGCAGTGGCACCATCTCTTATTTGTTGAACTTTTCATCTTTTCTTTCTTCACCTATGCAGTAAACATTGCAATATTTGCAAAACCAGTTTATTGCAGTACATTCTATATACAGTATTTTGTTTTTATACAATATTTGTTGTTTTTAAGTTTTTTTATTTGTTTTTAAAAAAATTGCAGTGTTTTGGGGGACAAAAACAGATTAATGGCAATTCAATGGGCAAAATTAATTTGGCATATGAGTAATTTAAGTTGAGTTCTGTCACAGAACAAATTAAACTCTTAAGTCAAGACACCACTGTATATTAATTTATATCTGTTAAATACAATTCTGTTGTTTATTTTATATTTTAAATATATGTTAGCCCATGTCCAGAAAACTGGAAAATCCAGAAATTCAAATCACTTTCAGTCCCAAACTTGCTGGTCTTGTATTGTATTTATTTCTACATTTTTTACAAGAAAATAAAAATCTTATGTACCTTTTAAATAATTAGTTGTAGTACCTATTTGAATTTCTTTTTCTATAAAATCTACTTAAAGAAATTTCTGATGTTTTACTTGATGTGCTGCTTGAATCCTAAAAAAAAGTATAAAAATCAGTAAGGATTAAATACTTTATTAATACACAGTATATATTTAAATATATAATTATAAAATATATATATCAGTGTTTTCAAAATGCAGATTGTAACCTATTAATTAGTAGTAATGAGAATTAAAAAAAATTTTCAGTATATAGCAAATCAGTGATGAAGAGTAATGAATGCTCAAGTCTCACATAGTTATATAACAAAAATGTTCAAGTGTAAGTAATGTTACTAGGTGTTATAACAACAGTAAATTTATAATAAACTATCACACTTTCTAAATTTTTACAAATTTTAAATAACTTGTGTAATTTATATTTCCATTTGCATTAATTCTTGCAATTTTCAAATTTAATTGTATTTATCAATTTATTTTATTAAAACACTAACTTTTATTTATACCAATAAAATTATATTCTGTTTATTCCTTTTATGCATTTGGAGCTAGAACTATTCTAAGATGACCAAGACAAAACCTTTCTCACTAGTTTCTAGCCGTTTATACATGAGGACGAATGTTTTTGGCCTTCTTCAGGTACACTGTGGTCTGTTAGTGTCAGTTGGTAGAAATTTGAATGATGTCAATGTTTACATAGGTATTTCTTACCAGTGACATCATCGTTGATGATAAGGTTCAGACAATACCGAGGGCGTTAAATTTTTTTCTTTTGGTAAAAATGAAAGGTGGGCAGATAGTTCATGATGGGATAATCACTAAAGTTGGAAAATAAAATTGGAAAATAAACGCGCTAAGTAAATAAGATGCACTATCACAATAGGGGGTTAATGGGGAGTGATGTTGTAGTTGATAACGGAGCATAGACAATGCCAACGTCGTTAAATAACTTATGATATAATAAGAAAAGGCATGTGAACGACCATAGATGGGGAAGGTGTTACAATTAGAAAACAAAACTGGAAAAATAAATGCAACAAATAAAAAAGCGCTAATGGTTGCAAGAGGTAAGGGTAAGGGTGGGTTGGTCTATTTAGTTTAAGGGGTTATCAAAGAGTGATTTCCATGCGGAGGAGAGCATGTTCTCTCTGCTGTTGATAAAACTGCCTTTGAGGGATTGCTTAAATATTTCAATGGTTTCAACTGTTCTAAGCTTGCTATTGTCATGCATAGGAATAATAATCTTCGCCTCTTCCCATTTGGTCATTATACTAGGTTTGCTTGCAAACTGGGCTAAGGTGGAAGTGAACTTTTTGTTGTATGCATCGTATTTGTGCTCAGCTATCCTCCTTTTAAGCGATCTATTGGTTGAGCCAACGTATGTTAGTTTTTTGCACAAGTTGCACAGGTTTTTTGCACCTTTCATTTTTACCAAAAGAAAAAATTTAATGCCCTCAGTATCATCTAAACCTTACCATCAACGATGACGTCACTGGTAAGACGATACCTATGTAAACATTGACATCATTTAAATTTCTACCAACTGACTCTCTAACAGAGCACAGTGTACCTGAAGAAGGCCTATTAAGAAGGCCTAAAATGTTCGTCCTCGTGTGTAAATGGCTAGAAACTAGTGAGAAAGGTTTTGTCTTGGTTTATTCCTTTCTTATTGATAAAATATGGTTACTAAATTTTAAGTTTATCTACTTAAAGTACTGTTCAAATTTCCACCATCACAAATTTCACACACATCTATTGTATTAAATAAAGTCTTTTCCATATTTTTATTTGTTCCATCTATTATGAATTTTTTGCCAATTTTGTATTACTAAATATTAATAAACTAATAAAGCCAACCACTGCCATATGCCATCAGGCTATATAACGGCTATATTAATAATAATAATTTTATTCATTATTAATATAGCCATTATAGAGCCTGACAGAATGCAGCAGTGGTTGGCTTTATTATTATAATGTATCAGGTTTTTGTAGAGTTGTTTGCTTACTAATAAAATAATATTTCTTGTTTTTATTTTATCATGTGGGTACTGGATCATGATGCAAAATGTACTTCTTACAATGGGCAGTCAGAAAAGTTTAAAAAAAACACTGGTATATACTGTATATCATTGCTAGTAACTTAAAAAACTCACTATTTCATCTCTGTCACTTTCATCTTGTTCAGAATGACAATTATTATTCAAATAAATGGAATGATTATTTTTACCTGGAAAGAGTTTATAAAATTTAGAATTATTTTTAATAAAATTGAAAATATCAAATGTTTTGAAATAGAGAATAATTGCCTCTAGAATTTCCATTTAGAAGTTTACTTTTAGAATTATCAAGTTCTTCATCTGATGAATAAATATAGGATTCTAAGTCAGACTTCTCACTAAAGAAATAATTACTGATTAGAAATGTTAGTAAACGAACAAATCTTTTCATCAGAATAAATTTTATTTAGCCTATATACTCAAAAATATCAACTATAAAGTTTCTTCAGTAAAAATGCTATATATGAGGGCTGTTCGGAAAGTTCGCGGCCTCACATAGAAAAACAAACAAACAAAACAAAAACTTTTTTATTTTTCAATGTAATCTCCTCTGTTAGCAATGCACTTATTCCAGCAATGTTCTAGCTTTTTTATGCCATCACAATAAGTCGATTTGTCAAGGTGTGCAAAATACTCATTCACTTCAGAGATGACTTCGTCATTTGAGTGGAATCTCTTTCCAGCCAAGAATTTTTTTAGGTTTGGAAAAAGGTGGAAGTCACTGGGGGCCAAATCAGGTGAGTACAGTGGATGTGGAACTAATTGGAAGCAAAGTTCGTTTATCTTTTGTTCAGTGATTCTGGTGGAATGTGCAGGTGCATTATCGTGGTGGAACAGAACTTTTTTCTTCAAGTGTGGCCTCTTTTCTTCGATTTCTTTCTTCAGTTTTTCCAAAAGTTCACAGTAATAGACAGCATTAATGGTCTTTCCTCTTTCTAGGTAGTCAATAAAGATGATGCCTTTAGCATCCCAAAAAACCGAGGCCATCACTTTACCCGCTGATGGAACTGTCTTTGCCTTCTTTGGTGGTGGCAAACTGTGGTGTTTCCATTGCTTTGACTGTTCTTTTGTTTCAGGAGTGTAGTAATGGATCCACGTTTCGTCAGTAGTCACAAACCGATGCAAGAAATCCTGTGGGTTTTTCTGGTAGAAGTCCAAACACTCCTTTGACATCAAAGTGCGAACACGTTTTTGCTTGGCGGTCAGCAGATGCGGCACCCACCTTGCTGAGACCTTCATCATACCCAAATCTTCGGTTAGGACGTGGTGCACTCAGTCGACAGAGATGCCTGTTGTCTCAGCTATCTCACGCGTTTTCAAACGGCAATCTGCTAATACCAAATTGTGAACTTTGTCGATGTTTTCTTCAGTGACAGCAGTTGACAGCCGTCCGCTGCGAGGGTCATCTTCCACACCTCCTCTGCCAGATTTAAAAAGGGCTGTCCATTTTTTCACAGTGGTGTATGAAGGAGCACTCTCTCCTAAAACTTCATCCATGTCAGCTTTGATTTGAGATGGGGTCAACCCTTTTTGTCAGGTATTTTATGACTGCATGAGTCTCCGTCTTCTCCATTTTTTCCAAAGCATGTGCACACTGACTATCTGCTAAGCTGTCGTGGCAAAACTTTTTGACAAATCAAGCGGAAATTGGTATCGTATCTTTAGCAAAGATGGCTGCATTATTCCCGCCAAAAATTAAATTGATCACAGCGCCGCATATAGGCAAGGCCGTGAACTTTCCGAACAGCCCTCGTATATAGACATCTACAGAACTGGTGCTGATCTATCAAACATGCTAAATTACTAAACATTTTTGTATTTCCATAAAATTTTATAACTTATGTGTCATTTGAAAATGTAAGTTTCAGACATTGCTGTACATTTTGTACCAGGTATATTGCTTTATGCATCCATTTGTTTACATATGATCTTTAATCAGTCTGAAGATGATATATTGCCTAACTCTACTGTGTTAAAGATGTATTGAAAAACCTGCAAAAACATTAATTAATACATTTATTGCTCAGAAACTTTAGCACACATGTCCAAACATACATGGATTTGCAGAATACCAGCTTTATGGATTATTATTAAACAATTCCAGATTATCATCTACTTTTTGGAGGATGTCGGATTAACAAACTTCTACTGTGTATAAACTTTTTTATAACAATAATTTTATTTAAATAAATTTTTTCAAATTGACTAATATTTTAAATTTTCAATTATTATTTCAAAAAGCTTTTTACAAAATGATATACAGGAAGACCCCACTTAACACTGCCTCGATGTAACACAGTCTGCTCAAAGCCTAAAAAAAAACAAGCTCAAAATTTATGCCAATTCAAATTATTGCAACATTTTGTTAATTCATTTATAACAACATTATTCGCAAACACAAACCAATCAGCAAAGGTGACAATTCGCCATAGCCTAAATCTATGTTTTGTGCAATTTTGGAAAAAATATATCATCATGGATGCCATAGGCAATGTCGACTTTGCTTGGCAAGAATTAACCAATAGATGCATGAATGGAGTATGGACTGTATGGTAGAAGTTATGGCTAAAGGTATCCAAGAATTCTCAATGAGAAGAGCCTATCGCTGTATTGTTAGGTTGAAAATTTGGTCAACCTAATCGATACAGCAAGACTAGATGTAGAGATGTAGATGAGTAGGATATTGAGGAGTTACTGCAGATTTCTGGTGAGAGCCTTAACAACAACGACCTTCAAGAACTGGCAGAACAAGGAATTCTTGTAGAACTGGAAAACAGAGATTCTGAAAACAAAAAACCCAAAGAATTTCTCTACAGATTTCCTTAGTAAAAGTTTGGTAATGATAACTGAAATCGTTGATCAAATTGTAGCGAATGATCCAGCTTTTAAAAAGAGTGCAAAAGCAAAACAAGTCATTTTGGATGCAATCTTCTGCTACTGACATTTGCTAAGGAAAAGAAAAAAAGTGACAAATGAAACTACACAACTTTATCACAAAAAACAAGAATTTCAAAAGAGCTAGGACCATTGTCACAAAAGATAAACTTTATATTTCTGTGTTTATATGTTTGTGTGTTATTTAACATATTATTATTAATAGAAAAATAATTTAAAATTAAAGTAAAATCTGTTTATTTTTGGTCATGTGTTCCCCTTTTCCTGTTTACTCTATGTTAAAATGACCTCGTTTAATGCTGTTTCGCTTAGCTCTCTGTCGTTTAGGAATGCACCCCCATGTTAAGCAGGGTCTTACTGTATAACAAACCAAATGATCACCATAATTAATCAAGCTATTTTTTGCTATTATTAATAATTAGAAAAAGTAATTAGGTATTAGAGGTAAATGTTAGGTGTTATCTCTTATTTAAATTAATAATTATAATAATTTAATATTTATTAAATAATTTAGAACAGTCTGGAAGAATAGAATCAGCCTGGAGTGGGATGTGAACCCACAACCTCTGTTTACTGTGTGGTGTGCTGCCCAATTCTGCAACCTGGTCCTCCAAGCAATTTTTCACTTTCAGACACATTTAAATCTTGTTATACCCATCCACAGTTAATCAGTGCTGACTGGAAGCAACTCCTATGCTCACAACCTATGTACTCCTCCACCATGGCAGTATATGAATAGTGTAACTGGACAGTGAACTGCATGGTAAGCAGAGGTTGTGGGTTCGAATCCCACTCTGGGCCAATTCTTTTCTTCCAGTCTGTTCTAAGTTATTTAATAAATATTAGATTATTATAATTATTAATTTCAATAAGGGATGGCATCTAATGTCTACCTCTAATCCCAAATTACTTAGATTCTAATTATTAATAGTAGCAAAAAATAGCCCAATTAATTACAGCAATCATTTAGTTTAGTATTAATACATTGGACTTTGGGATGTTGATAGATACATAACAAATCACCAAAATAAATAATTATTTTTGACTAATTTGACAATTTTATTATTAATGATTTTATCAGACAAAGCAAATGTATATGTACAGTAATACCTCGACTTACGCAAACCTGGAGTTATGCGATTTTCAAATCTCGTTGATTCATCTTTTGTTTGAGCGCCACGCAACTCTTAATTACTCACTCCCCCCCCACACTATTGTTCAGCTTACATGTTCAGATGTGTCGCGCAGAATCAACACATAGCTACAATTTATTTTGTGTTATTTATTTCTGTGTTTGTTATATCTACGGAGTCTTGAGAGACTCTATGTGATGATTTCTTGTAACCGTCAACGAATCAAAAGACGAGATAAGATTAACGAGAACATTTATTAGTTTACATACATCCGACTTGGATTTTACACAAATTGTGAAATTATACCCCGAGTTACATGAATTCGACTTACGCACTTATCACTCAGTCCCACCTATCGCGTAAGTTCGGGGTATTACTGTATATCACTTTGGCCAATTTTGAGCTAAGCCCGAAATCGGCCAAAACGAGAAGTGTCTGGCCAAATCGGAAAATGGCCAACATTGCTGTAAATTGACTGGCCAATCAATGTCTGATCTTTTCTTGATTTGGGATTTGACTGGACAGTTTGTGAAATGGCATGGTGCTATCAGCCAAAGTTGGAAGAAAAAAATTCATGGTCGTTTGTAAGTTATCTACAATCTCTCTGGGCAGATTTGAGGTTCTAAGCCCCACTTTTGCTTTGCAGCCAAACATGGCCTCACATGCTAAATGCCTTGGTGAAAAGAATGGTTTTTTACAAATTAAATAAATCGAAGACTCTTAGCCCAATGTATTGATTTATTTGTCTGCATCCATGTCGTCATCATATTCTGAACATCTTGGTTGGCATGTTCACTGGAATCTTGGCTTTGATTATGCCTCAGTTTTCTGTGTACTAGTTTCAGTTCAGGCCATATGTTTTTTAGTTCATTTATAACTTGGTTCACAAATTTTCTCCCATTATCTGATTGAAGCCCACTTGGAGCACCTATAGTGGTGAAAATATCAAGCAGCTGGTACACAACTTCTGCTCTTTTGCTTTTCAGAGGTCGCAATAATATAAACTTGGTTAAATGATCCTGATAATTAAGTATAAACTTGTACTTTCCGTCATGGTTANTAGGTTTCTATTACAAATATTAGATTATTATAATTATTAATTTCAATAAGGGATGGCATCTAATGTCTACCTCTAATCCCAAATTACTTAGATTCTAATTATTAATAGTAGCAAAAAATAGCCCAATTAATTACAGCAATCATTTAGTTTAGTATTAATACATTGGACTTTGGGATGTTGATAGATACATAACAAATCACCAAAATAAATAATTATTTTTGACTAATTTGACAATTTTATTATTAATGAT